AAACATCTTTAAGGAGGTACGTGCCATTCGTAGTTTTAAACGATTCTTTTCATCCTCTGTTTTCATTCGTTCACGTTGTATAGCTTCCTGAACAAGATTTGTCTCTTCGGCTTTCAAGAGACGTTCTTGTTCCGCTTGACGTCGAGCTTCAACACTCATATAGTACTACAACAATATAAGAGGAAATATTTACACAATAGAGAAATTCATTTCAAGCTTAGATAACTGACAGACTGACTGACTAACTGGTTGAGTGAGTGAGTTTCAACATAGAACTTTGCACAGAGGTGCACCAGTTCAAGTTGCCATACTTCATATATAACACAAAAAGACAGACAAAGAAGGGATTCAAAAAACTATAATGAGCAGAAACATACGAGAGGAAGAATAGTAACATGGAAAGACTTTATGGAGCAAGGAGATTACAAAGAATGAATGCACACCTGCGCCACCAACCAGATCGATTCTCAGTCATTTCTTCACCAATTGTCTCTAACCATCATTGGTTCTTCTTACCATCCCGTAGAGCCCAACCACTCAGGCAGTCAGTCAGTCTACACTTTCCTACGTGGCTCAAACTAACTTATGATTTTAATGGACTAATGAAGCCATGTTTTGATTTGAGAGAGAGTTGGCGCGTCATAAAGAGCACCTCAAACAAACTACAGACCTTCATCAACAGCTGTCTTCACTCAATACTCAAGATCAGATGGCCGGCCAGAAAAGATCAGCAACAGGGATCTCTGGGAGCGAACCAACCAGGGACTGATTGTGAAACAAATAGGCAGAAAGAAATGGAGATGGATTGGCCATACTCTGAGGAAACCATCAAGTGAAATCACATGCCAGGCCATAGCTCGAGTGGAACCCGAAAGGTAAGCGGCGAGTTGGTCGTCCAAGGGTGACTTAGAGGTGGTCATGTGAAGAGGCAGACTTGGAGCCAGGTAAAAACGTTAGCAGAGAACTGAACGCAATGGAAACGTGCGGCTGAAGGCCTATGTTCCTCTAGGAATTAAAGGAAGTAATAATAATAATAAATAATAATCACGTGCTAGCTTCTTTCCAACCTGATCAATCCTATGTCAGCTAACAATGACAGTCGAGGAAGGCGATCGATGGCTAGGTGTGAGTAAAACATGGCCTAACCATCTCAATTGGTGTAGCTTCATAACCTCATCGATTGATTTTCCCTTCTTACACCTAGCTTTCGACCAAAGCCTAACCTCAGTATTGCTCACCTTATTATACCACTTCACACGGGAGATAGAACGCAGGCACGTATGATCAAAGACAGCTATCCTTTTCGTATCTTCCACTTTCAATGGTAATGTCTCACTTACAGCCATAAAGGAGGAGAGAGAGAGAGAACTGGTTAGCAGTATACACGTCCTTTAGTCGATGGCGTAGGTTGACAAATGCCAAGCCAGCCTGCTGTATCCGTGCTGAAATTTCTTCAGTGATCATCCCGCTTGGGGTGACGCAACTTCCCAAATAAATGAAGTGGTCAACGCGTCACCACCCACATACTTCTCAGTTTGGCAATAACTTCATTGCATTGGCATTGAAATCGCCTGCTAAAACGACTCTGTCTGAGTGGTTTTGCTTTTCTGCATCTGCGCCATCGACAACAATATCATCAAAAATGTATCCAGTCATTGGTTTTTAGCACCCTGAGGACCTCAACCCGGCAGTCTATACCTCCGTATGTGACTGGTTGAAACCAACAATCAAAGACGTCATAGATTAATTCCACGTTCTGACCTAACCACCTCTAAATCTTTCCCAGTCTGATCCCATGTCGGCTAACATTCCTTGATGTGAAGACGGCGATTTCACAGCATGAGTAACACACATGTTAGCCACCTCAGTTGATTCAGTTTTACAACCTCATCGATCGACTCCCATGTCTTGTTATTACTGACCATGTTAATCTGTTGTTATAATTAATCCCTTAGGTTCTAAGTGGAACATGACGCTTGACGTCCTGCTCTTTGCATCCTTCTTAAGCTCTCATCCTCTCCTCTCACAAGATCCTCCCCATGTCACCCTTTAACACACGTTGTTTCCTATTCGGGTTACACCTGGTACATGATGTCAATCAAGGGTCTGAATATATGTCTTACTACTACTTAGTTAATATCTCTTACAACCTGGACTATCAAAAACCTCCAGTAATACGTGACTGACTGGTTTCAACATAGAACTTTCCACCGGTGTGCAGCAGTTCAAGCCACCACACTGCGCTCCTTGTAGAACACAAAGCAACAGAAGAAATGAAAAATATAGACAGTAAAGAGGGATGTGAGACAAAGGAATAGTAACATCGAAGAACAATATAGTTTCATTAGAAATTTTAAGTCACAAGTAGTGGATGCATCTGTGCCATAATGAAGAACAATTTTGAGCAATATCACCCACCAATTGTCTGCAGCCTTCATTGGTTTTTACCATCCCTAGGACCCCAACCTGTCAGGAAGTCTGCATCTTCCTACGTGGCTTAAACTAACTGTTGTGGATTTCACTAACTTATGAAGCCATGTTTGGGTTTGACCACCAGTGGCTCTTTTCCAACCTGATCCATCCTATGTCAGCTAACATTTGCTATTGTCGAGGAAGGCAGGCGATGGCTTGGCACGCATAACACATGTCCTAACCATCTCAGTCGATGTATCTTCACAGCTTCGTCAACTGATTTCCCCTCCCACATACTTAGCACTCGACGCCTAACGTCAATATTGCTCACTGGGGAGATGGAACGCAGGCACCTATGATCAAAGACAGCTAGTCTTTTCAATAACACTTAACCTTTTTCAATACATTGTATATATTTTCTCTGATTCAGTTTGTTTAAATCTTTAAAAAATATCATCTCTTATAGTGTTGTTTACTCTGGCGAGTGTTTAAAACATTTACAACCTGCAGTTTCTCAAGTTTCTACGAAACATGAGGTGAAAAAGCATTATCCTCGATGGATGACAGCTTATCCCAGTAAACGACATGACCATTCCTCTGAGTAGTGTGTCCTTAGTTCACAAAAGAAAATGTACCCCTAAACTTTCGATGACTGGCAGTCGACAAAATGTCGTCGTGTATTTCTCGAAAGGAGAAAAAGAAGAGATATCAGCATACTAGTGGATTGGTTTGTGTTCCATGCCAGAGAGAACCGTGTGTCACAAGATCTACTATCACAATTAGTATGCTATTTGGAGATCCTGGTGAACGACTGAGAATTCTGTCCATTACATAATATAAACATTGTTTCAGAATAAAGCCATTAATAATCTTTTTTTTAAAACTCAATTAATTACCTGATCTTTTTTATCTTGATACGTTTCAATTTCTTCTTTACGCGTTTCAATTAGGTAACGGCGATTCAGTAATTCACTGTGCAGCAGATGTTCATTCTTACGATAATCATGGACTAGTACACGTCGACAATTAGCCAATGATGACTGGCCAACTTCCAGGATGTCAGTTATCTGTTGCATAACTTGTGCAAACATTGTTAACTGACGCGATAATTTATCCGGATCATTTACATGTGTTGACTACAAATAAAACAAACAACAAGTGAAACTTCATCTAATGATAAAGGCATCTAAGGATAAGTGACGCAAAACATGCAATTTAACTAAGGAACTTATTTTTTGAGTTACACCACGAATGTGATATCACTTAGAGATGCTCGCTAGTGACTTAATAGAGGAAGGAGTTTCTTGGAGTTCTAGTGAGAAGTCGTGACCAGTGAGGTCCATCGAGTGTGTGTGTGTCTGTTTTCGACATAGAACTTCGCACCGATGTGCAGCAGTTCAAGCCGCCACACTCCCTCCTTGTAACACACAAAGCAAGAGAAGGAAGTAGAAGAAATGCATAACAGAGACAGTAAACAGAGGTGTAGTGTGGTGAGAGCTGTCTACTAGCCAAATTGGTAGACAGTAATTTACGTCAATGTTCACGTTCTCAAGATTGGTCGTGAGAAAATATGAACGAAGACTGATTCAAAACCGACCACAGCAGACTTTGCGTAGGCGGATACAGTTAACACATAGATGATGTGACATTCAAGGAACAGTCACAGAGATGAAAGATTAACTTTATGTGAGAAACAACCAATCAGAGGACTGTGTTTGTTTGCTTAAATAATCTATAATAATGAACATGAAAATATATTAATATACTTTGATTTCTTTAATAAACGATCTGTTGCCTGGCCCTTGTCTTCTGTCGTTACAGTAGGACAAAGGAATACTAATAACGAAGAACAATATAGTTTCATTGGAAATTATAAGTCACAAGGAGTGGATGCATCTGCGCCAACCATTGACAACAATTTTGAGCCATATCATCAATTGTTTCCAGCCATTGGTTTTTACCGTCCCGAGGATCCCAACCAGGCAGTCAGGAAGTCTACACCTTCCTACGTGGCTTAAACTAACTGCTGTGGACTTCATTGACTGGTGCCATGTTTTCGTTTGACCCCCGCTAGCTCTTTTCCAGCCTGACCCTATGTCAACTAACATTGCCCGTCGAGGAAGGCAGGCGATGACTAGGCATACGTAACACATGTCCTCACCATTTCTCTCAACCGATGTACCTTCAGAGCCTCGTCGATTGATTTCCCCTCCTTACCTAGAACTCCACGCCTAACTAACTCAATACTGCTCACCTTATTATACCATTTCGGAAGTGAGGATTGATTTCCCAATGATGACATTGGTTGGTGGTCGCGCTAAAATTCAAGAATTGATAGAAGTTATAATTCATGGGCTGGCTATTGAATCAGGTCCCAGTGACTGAATGGTAAACGAACCAGCTTGCCTTGTAACCGGAAGGTTCTGGGTCCGAAACCCCGTGGGTAAGTACCACCGGTGAGTCCCAAACTAGGATGAGACAAATGTCTAGTAATCCCTGGTGGTTTTCAATGGTTCTTTAACTGATATCAATCCGTGGTCAAACTCGTAAAAACTCTTGAAAAATAAAGAATTTATATTGAAAAATACCTGAGATACCAGCTGTCCACCATATTCACACTGACTGATCCCAAGATCTGTAAATTTATCAAAGAATATTGCCTGCCTTAAGTGATTAACACGAATAGGCAATTCCAAGTTATGAATTAACTCGATAACACATCTTTCCAGCCGAAGAGGTTCCATAAATGGACACAATTTAACAAATTCTTCAAAATTTAAACTTTGATAAACTTGAGATAGCTGGAGTAGAGTCTTCGCGACAATAACATCATGCAGTTGTGTACTGTAGACTTTAAGATCTTGGAACTCGGTCATATATTCCAGTGCTGGTTGAACAAGTTCCCAAAGTTTTAAAGGTTGAAAATCAGCTTCCAGGACTTGATAAAGTTTAGCCAAATCTGCTGGAACAATAGTGTGTATTTTATGCCTGACTAATTCACGTATTAAACTTTGACGAGTCGGAACTTGAAGAAGACCTAAAATGAAATGAAATTGTTACAAGGCAATTATTCTACAAAAATTACCTAGAAGGCCAGCAAGCGTTTTCTGTTTCATAGCAGTGTATTCGCCAGACAGTAAGAATTTATCTGCATTGACTTTAGCATTCGGTAAAGGAATGGCAACAGTTGCACACAGGACACGAGATCCAAGTTTTGAGAGCTCTTCACGTGTCAAATTCTTCTTGTGATCTCGGTAGAGTGTGTACAGTTTGTGCAGAGCAGCTGCATGGTATAGATGGCAACCGCATCGTAGGAAAAGTTCTGCTGATTTCGAGTAGTAATTTGTCATTAATAATGGGCTAGCTGGTTTTCTAGACATCATCATAAAACTCCAGATATCTTCGACTGTTTTAAAGGCTTCATTGTACATTTCTAGTTCCATTGCACAATCCAGTTGTCGTAATCTAGTCTCAAAGTGTAGTGTCTGCGTTTCTGGATTATTGAGATTTATTGCGTTTGGTGCATTCGGTTGTAACTGGTTTTGAACTTTCTGGGTATGTTGTCGAATCTTGACAGACACAACAAAGGGGAGGGGGAGTTAGACGTTAAGAACAACAGGAAAGTGAACATACCAATTCAGAGAGTTTTTTGAATTCCGTTTTTCGGCCATACTTTAAACAGAAGTTATACGCTGTAAGAAGAGTCATTTGATGAAAACTAACTGAAATGAACTGAACTTACCATCATGAGCGACTTCATGGTATAACTTTTCCAACTTTGAATTACTACGTAACAAATCTAACACCAAACGATAGGAATCCCATAGGAATTTCAACCATGGCATTAGAATTGTTCTTGCGGATCGATCTTGTGTACCCTCTTTACTCACAGCGTTCAACATTAGGCTAGATGAAATAAAACAAGTGAAGAGAGGAGAGCATGTAAGTTAGTGAGTAAAATTCATTGGTGACCATAGAGTATTCGATGATATAAACAATATCTTCTATGTGGAGGAAGATAATGACTCAACCTGACTATACAATTCTAAAAGACCGATTCGAAAGTCTCAGAACAATAGTGTTACTTATTGTGTTAGTGCTAGTCTGTAATCACTAGTCAGGAAAACCACTGGATAGGCATGTCAAATTTACCTTAGCAATCACTTGTGTTCCCAATGAGTTCGTAATTAACCACTCTAATTGTGAGGTTTAATGATACTATCTAGCTGCGCAAATTTATGTAAGTGGATCAGTGTTTGAACCCGTGGTCCAGTGAGTGATAGATAGTCAAGCGCCATGATTAAGAAGCCACATCTTCAGAGATGGGTATGTGCAAAAGACAGGTTCACTATAGTAGAAATCAAGACGAAGTACATTGGTGTAATTGACCACCGGGTTGTGCTATCGAATCTTCAATACTGAATGAACGACCCAGTACGACCGAGGTTGAATAGATTTCAGCCTTTCTTTCAAAATTCCTTCATAGTCTCAACCACATAAGTGCTATGCACTGCCTTCACGTGGCAGCGGTGTCCCTCACAGAAGTGAGACCAAGTGAACTTACAGGTCTACTTAGGGTAGTTGGAGAAGCCTGATTCCAAACTCGTAGTGATGGAATGGTGTATGAACCTGGTTTGGACATCGGAAACTATGAGGACAAAACCCCGCTGCATTACAAGTCAAGCTTCAAGTGAAAGGTTACGGAGTATGGCGTATTAAGACAACCACCTGCCTCAGTTTTGAGCATCCGACCAGCATTCCAGCCCTCACACAAACCACTAGATTATCTGTGGAGTATCTCTTGGTTCTCTTTTTTTTATTCCTTCATGTTCCCAGTGGATCATAAGGCTTCAAGCTAGAGGCTTGAAGTTTCTGTAGTACTAAGTGGTGATTATTTTTACAGGATGGGGTTGCCAACGTCATGCCCAACCTTCCCTCTTTGCCAGTTCTATTACTGGCTTGGCGAGGTAAAGGAGTGCGTCAGTCGGGGATCGAACCCCGGACTATGTGCGTGGTCGGCGAGCATCCTAACCGCTGTGCCACCTACGCACTTGGTTCCTTTAATGTAGCGAATCTGTTTTAATAATATTACATTATTATTATTTCTTTTAGTTCCTAGAGAAACAAAGGGCTTTATCCTCACGTTTTAATAATAACAATACTGAATAAACTCTGCTAGTTGGCTTTTTAATACATTCATCAAGTTACAAGGCAGATTCCAGGGATGCTTGGCGTCCATCTACAAGGAGTATTTACTTATTGTTCTGTGATCCATCAATATATAAGGCGTAATCGCAAAAGGTTAGCCTCGAATAATAATTCGACAGAAGGATGTCACACGGATCAACATCTAAAGATCTTTTCTTGACCATGTACATACATGCCATATGCTTCATCAAAATATTCACAAACATCATGACAGTGTTTACATGCTGACAACTTCATATTCCATTTTTTTATTCCTTCACGTTCCCAGTGGAACATAGAGCGGCTTCAAGTTGGAGGCTTGAACTTTCGGTAGCAGTGTTTATTTTTTACAGGATAGGATTGCTAGCCTCATGCCCAACCTTTCCTCTTTACCAACTTTATTACTGGCTTAGCGAGGTAAAGGAGTGCGTCTGTGGCCAGGGATCGAACCCCGGACTATGTGCATGGTCGTCGAGCGTCCTAACAGCTGTGCCACCGAAGCACTCATATTCACTCATATAGTTTTAGTATTTATTAACCCATGTATCTCTAGGACATAAACATTATTAAAGATACTTTTGTATTACAAATTTCTGGAAAAGAAAAATGGATTACTCCTCATTACCTTTCTGGTGTCTCCAGAATATCTAAATCTTCAATATCCATAATAGCACTTTTTGACTCTTCCTGAGCTTCTTCAGTTTTACTCTTAATTTGATTCAAATAGTAGCGAATAACTTGGTCAAGAGAAGCCGTATTTTCCTAAAATTTTTGAGAAAATATTAAAGTATTGGTTTGACGACGGAAGGAAATAGTGAAAACCTACCATCACGCTCATATTCTTGTACTGATAGATAGCCTTCCTGAAGTGGATATTTTTCCGCAACTCTACACAGAGTTCGACGAACAACATCATTAATTCTTCTAGAACTTTTTGCCATTGTTTTGTTCGCCTAACTCGCATCACATCGTAAAGAATTTCAAGAGCGTTCGCTTTCTTATCACATTTTATAAGTTCTAAGAGAGACAACACAAGAGAAGGAATAAATAGAAGTTTTAATATTACACAGAAACTGTAATTTTCACCAATGCATAGATAGATAGATAGGAATACAAAATCAGCAAGGAATATTGAAATAGAAACAAAAAGTTATCACTGGAACCAGTTTAATGAGACACGCGTTTGTTACACAACTGAATTAATCTATCCTAGTTATACAGTGCAGGTTTCTAATGTCACGAAACCTGAAGTGTACGTGACGTGTTTAATGTCCATTACATTAAGCCAAAGCCAATGAAGCGAAATTCCTGACACATGGTAACAGAAACATGAGTTAAAGCTATAGCAAGCATAAATATGTAGGGGTATATGAAAAATTACTGCTTTCTCAAACAGCTGGCAATGAGATATATATTTTATTTTTGAAGGCCAGTGACACTCCATCGGCTTACTAAAACCTCAGCAGGTGGAGAAAGGTTCGGGCCTGACACATAGTGGTCGGAATCTGATCACTTGAAGTGGCATAATAGGGTGAGCAATATTGAGGTTAGGCTTCGAGCGAGTGCTACGTATAAGGAGGGGAAATCAATAGACGAGACTGTGAAGTTACATCGACTGAGATGGTTAGGACATGTGTTATGCATGCCTAGCCATCGCCTACCTTCCTCGACGGGCAATGTTAGCTGACATAGGGTCAGACTGGAAAAGAGCTAGCGGCGGTCAAACCAAAACATGGCACCTGTCAATGAAATCCACAACAGTTAGTCTAAGCCACGTAGGAAGGTGTAGACTTCCTGACTGCTTGGGGTCCTCAGAACGGTAAAAACCAATGGTTGGAAACAATTGGTGACATGGCTCAAAATCGTTATCAATGGCTGATGCGTCCACTCCTTGTGACTAATGATTTCCAATGAAACTATATTGCTCTTCCATATTACTATTCTTTTGCCTCATCTCTGTTTACTGCCTTTCTTTTTACTTTCTTCTGTTGCTTTGTGTGCTACAAGGAGTGGAGTGTGGCGACTTGAACTGCTGGACAATGGTGCAAAGTAATTCTATGTTGAAACCAGTCAGTTAGTCAGATCACTTGAACTAATGAGCCACATTTCAAAATGGACAGGAGAATATTCTATGTGACTTGACACAATAGTACACCGGTTTCAGTTGACACACTCAGAAAAAGTACAACATATTTAAGACAAGAGAAAAGATACTAACAGTATGGACAAACATAGGTGTGATAAAGCGGTTATAAAAACTTTACTTGCAATTTGTTAATATGTATAGTCTACGGGGTTAACAAGACATGTGACCACTTATCACAGGGCCAGTTTATTCAATAATAAACATCTTCATTCTACTCTATAGTTGAGAAAAAACAAGATGAGTTCAACAGTTTCTGATATCTTCATAACTCTGGATGAATGAAATGCGAATAAGAAGTAAGACTTAGTTTAGACAAAAAATGTTAAGTATGACGCTTAGTTTGGTGACTCGGAATTTTCACTAAAATTGTTCAGGTATCTTTTATGTGCTGAATAAGCACTTCCAACAAAGAAAGCTGAAGATAGCCAGAACACGAAAAGGATACTCATGTTGTTATAGCGCAAATTAACAAAAGTTAGAAGTTACGAGCCTTTACATTCCAACCTAGTGACTTTATGATAATGTACTAAGTCGGTGAGATGGCTCAAAATCCCAATTGTCAATGACTGGTGCAGATGCACTCACTGCTTGTGATTCATCATATCCAAAAAAACTATGCTTGTTCATACTGCTATTATTTCCCTCGCACTTCTGATTATTATCTGTCTTTTGAACTGCTGCACATCTGTGCAAAGCAGTTCTATGTTGAAACCAGTCTGTCTGTCTGTTTTAGACATAGAACTGCACCGATGCACAGCAGTTCAAGTGGCCGCACCATGTAGCACTCAAAGCAAGAGAAGATAGTAGAAGAAGTGCAAAATAGACAGTAAACAGAGGTGTGAGACAAAGGAATGGTAATATCGAAGAACAATATAGTTTTATTAGATATAGAAAGTCACAAGTAGTGGATGCATCTGCCCCATTGAGAACGATTTTGAGGCATATCACCCACCGATTGTTTCCAGCCATTGGTTTTTACCGTCCCAAGGACCCCGACCAGGAAGTCTACAACTTCCAACGTAGCTTAGACTAACTGTTGCAGATTTCATTGACTGGTGCCATGTTTTGGTTTGACCGCCGCTAGCTCTTTTTCAGCCTGAATTCCGTAACCTGATACTCTAGTCTGACCCTTTGAGTGGTAGTGGAACAATAGTGCTAAAAAGTCCTACATAACTAAAGTGGTTTCAAGGCTTTCAGTCGTTTTAAAACTGATACCAGATCGTAACAAAACCAACCTATAAATTTCTGTTCCTGCAAAAGATATGCCCCTAACATCCACAAGTTTTAAGTCAGTGTTTAAAAGCCTGGGAGTCAGAAGTAAATTGCCACGGTAGCGTATATCATTTAAAGAATAAGTCTACTGAAGACCACCAAGTAGACGACCACAATAATTACATCTAAGATAAGAATGAATACAGATAGAGAAAACACCACTTGGTATGGATATATCGAAAGACACTTCAATGTATACTTCAGTGAAACTACAGTTATCTGACTACGCATCTCTTAAGATAACGTTTTTATCGGTTACACAGGTGAACACTTCTTGTCTCGTTGACCCTTCAAAGACTGAAAAGTATACCAGGATAGGTGTCGAACTTATAATAGGAAGATTCACTACTGGTAATAATATGTATAGATGAGATATAGTTATAACATTAGTTTACAAGTTTGTCTACACAATAAGATCAAGATTTCGCAAAATATCGTTCATCAATGAGTAGTCAGAAGACCTTAAAAAGTGTAATCTTACGGAGAATGAAACTTATACATGTTACTTTAGACGGAAATGTGAAACTGGTAAAAAGACGAGGAACTATAGGCTATTGAACTAAATATAAACATCCTACTCCGTGTGGATATGTAACTCACTAACTTTCATGTTTCGCTACTCACCAGTAGGTCCAGGATTCAAAACCCGTTCAGTCATTTTTGGTATGTGTAACCAGGTGATATGCCTAACCCTTACAAAATATGCATTGTTTGCAGTCTGGTACATTATTATAACCCCAATTTAAATTCTTCGTCAAAATTAGTTCAATGAGCTAATTCCAACGTACAAAACAGCAGCCAACAAGTTCCTAGTAAAATGTTAACTTCCACAGACAGTATCGGTAGATTAACGTCTTACTTACAAAAACTGACTATTCACTGTAACTGGGGAGCTACATCATCCCAAATGGGTTGGCTTGATGCGTTACCACCGAAAATCTGGCTGAGTTTCAACACAGCAGTACAGCAGTTTGAGTTGCCACACTCCATGTACCATGCAGTCGGTAGGGAATTCAGATGAATTTGTCCAGAGACGAATGGAAAGTATCCTTAGTGCTACATCCGAGGAGAAATACCGCTGTGTAGTACTGGTTCTCAAACAGAGTCATAAATTCCTGGAACCGACTCCCAGAAAAAGTGAGGTCTGCAACCTCAAGCGCCTCATTCAAATGTTTGGGCAAGTACAGAAATTCACTAGAGAAGGGTGGACATAGGCTCCAAGCCTTCTATCCTCAATCAACAAATCTGAATGTTGTCTACATAACAATTTATCAAGTAAGATAGAAGTGTGACTGCCAGAATGATGGTTACGTTTTGAGTATTGGTTAGCGTCTAAAATGGGATTAGAATTTGCTTAGAATATAAAAAGTATGAATACAAGCCGTAAGTAAAAATACCATCCACTAATCGACAGATAATGCAAATACTTTAAAGAAACCGAACCATGGAGTTGAAGGTAACGCTGAAGAATTGTTGGTAATTATTCATCTATTCACGTCGAGCTTGTATACAAACTGTCTTTCTCCCCTTTAGCGGAATTGAGGTAACTGATAACATTACATTTGGTCGGTGGGATTCTGTGATTGGAGACAAGATGGACAAACTTCGAACTAAAAACATTTTGACACTGCTGCAATTATTATCCCAGTGTGACAGAGTAGCAGTAAGTATCACTGACGATTGTTTATCTCGTATATATCCATAGCATTTCTCAGAATACCATTTTACACACACGAGGATGATGACCACATAGGACCATTGAAATCTTGTTCAGATTGTTACAAAAACACCTAATTCCGAAGATATTCTTCACGATTATCTTTTGATGTGCTTCATAGAGTATCACAATAAAGTAGATCACTGAAAACTACCAGCGAATTCTTTAGGTGGAAACCAACATTTTTGGGTGAGTTAACAAAACCTGCGTTCCAACTGAAGACGTAAATTATCTTACTTCGAAATAAGAATACTGCCTGCAGTGAGATTAAGCGGGATGAGAAATAACTAAAAACTACATTGTTGGCATTAATGCAATTTTCCTCAGTACAAATCATACCTGGGTATTGAAGTCAAACTTCATAAGAACTTATAACAGAACAAAAGTCTTGGATTTGGCACAAAAGTAGGTTAGTACAGCCGAAAATTTTCTTTGTGAATACACTAACTGGGGGATCAATGCATTAATGCTAGTTTTGGGATGACTACACCCTTTTTTTTAAGTATAGAGGTCGAATATCAACTATTTAATTCGTAAATTTTCATTTTTGAAGACTGTTGACCTATGACAACCATTACGATTATTGGGTATTATCACTTATATTAAAGATTGATAAAATATCAGCTCAAAACGATGTTAATAAGATAAGGATGCTTTACACATACCACGCGCTTTTGTTAGAGCGGTCTCCGGCTTATGGTACTGGCTAGGAGGCATTGTCACGAAAAAGACACGCGACGGTCAACGTTCAACGAGAGCGGTAAAAGTAGGTAATTAAAAGTGGTGGACAGTGTTGAGTTAAGATTTTATAAAAAGTAAAAGGCAGACCTTCCCGTTCAAAATAAACGCTTCGCATTTATTCATGACAGCCATCAATTTTTCTCTGAAAAGAATCAACTAAATATGCCGAAGACCGTTCAATAAACAATGCTAAAAACGGGTTTACTGACATGGTTGATTCCACTTCGAAGTGGTACCACTTCACTGAGAGAGTACAATAACAGTGAGGATGAGTTTGAACTCAAAAATTACCCAAATTGCATAATGCAAATATGAAGTTGCCACTCAACTGCTTATATAACAGTACATTTCTTACAAATAGAGATATCAGTCGTCTAGGATTATGTCATATTAACCACTTTCCATTCAGGGAGGCCTAAAAACTACCCCCGGAACCTTAATGACCTGTTACAAAAATAATTTGTTATTCGACACATGTTAGTTCACTATGGAATACCTGTATATGTTCGAAAACAATGTGCAGATGCTTTATGTTCTCCACTAACTAACATAGTAAATGCTTATTTCTCCAAAAATGTCGTACCTGATGCATGGAAAGACATTAAAATAGCCCCTGTCCCTAAACCTGGAAACAGCAAGAACGTAAAGTTCAGACCCATTGCCATCACTTCCCCGTTTCTAAAGCTTATGGAAAAACTAGTACTTCTTAAACTTGAACCTTCCCTTAAAAACTTTGAAGACCCCAAACAATCTGCCTATAGACAGGGTAGGAGCACTTTAGAAGCTGCAGCCGTCTTACACAACAGTATATTCTCATCATTAGATAAAGGTGCCAAATACGTCCGCTGCACGTTTCTCGACTTAACTTCGGCTACCGACCCTATACCTAGATGTCTCTTGCTAAATAAGCTCTCTATGACGAAAATTGAGTCCTGGGTCACTAACTGGCTGCACTCCCGCTTCTCTAACAGAAGGCAGTACACCGTAGACAAAGGTAAATCCTCCTCTGCTGCGCTCACTGAAGCTGGTGTCCCCCAAGGTGCTGTACTATCCCCACTTCTCCTTTCTTTCTTTCTACATGAATTACCATCTTTGAATGACATTAATTTTGTTAAATATGCTGACGATATGACTGTATCTTTGCCTGTGAAATGTCAAAGTGACTGCTACAAACTAAATGGCTTTTTATCAGAAATCAGCTAGTGGTCCAAGGAAAACGGTCTAACCTTAAACCCCTCTAAATATCAAACTACCAATTTCACCTTTAGGCATAAATATGACTTCAGCAAACTGGTCAGCACTCACGAGGCGTGCAACATAGAGGGCACTGAAATAGAAACCAAGTCGGAAATTAAATATCTAGGCGTCATTCTATCTGCTGATCTCCCCTGGTCGTTTCATATCTTGGCGATTTCTAAAAAAGTATTCAGTCTTACCTTCTACATCAAGAAGTTAAGACATTCTGGAATAACCCAACCCTTACTCCTACAATTCGTTAACTCTCGCATTCTGCCTATTATTCTCTATTGTTCCCCCTTAGTTTTTCCCGGGCTACCGAACAAAGACTATAACATATTACGCAGGATGTTAAAGGTTGTCAGCAGAGTAAGCAGCGTGCCACTTGACCAGCTTGTCAATATTCTGGTAGACAGGCACATGAACTCATGTGAAAAATGGGTCAAATCCATTTTATCTAACTCACACCACCCTCTTCATTCACAACTCTCCCCTTGTATCTCATCAGGTAAAACCAGAACCCTATATAGAAAACTATATGCTCTCACCAGCAAGTACAAAAACTCAACCATACCCTACTTAGCTCGTGTTCTGTGCGATAAAGAAAGCATTAGGAGTGATACCTATAACCTATTAAATATTCAGTAGAACAACTGGACCTCGTCTTTCCAACTCATATCATTTATAGGTACAAGATTTTCTTTCTTTCTTTTCCTATCCTCTCTTTCTCTCTTTTTCTGTTTTTTTCCATTATGTGCTGCTTTGTTTCTTCCGCTTACGCCAGTAAATATGATGGCGCTTACATATCTAACACCTTCAAACACTGTTCAACTTTGGCTTTGCCACCGACATGCCAATATGTTGTTGTAATAATGAACTGTTGGTTTCCTCAATCTATGTAGAATTCTATTTATTGATAATGTACTAACTAGATGCAATACTGTAGTAAAAATGCTGAGAATTCCATTCTGTATTACAAGTACTGTTTTGGAATAAAGCAAATTATTATTATTAACTTCTGCTGTTCTTACGGCAATATGATATCGCGTCAAGTTTAGGGATAGCGACAATCTCTCAGACGTAATTTTACAGATTCAAGCAAATAATTTGGCAAGGTTCCCACACAAATTTGCACATAAAACTAGTAAATAGTGTGATCAGGAGAAGCCTTCTCTCTTCAGATTGAGGATCAACTCTAAACGAGTTTGCTGGACCCAAGTATGAAGTGGTTTGTATCATCACGCGGTAATCTTTCCACTTTTACCTCCTCTGTATTTCAAAATGTCATCTTAACTCAAAATTCGCTGGCGGTTGTCCACGATTATTTCTGGGAAGTTGTAAGGAGGGCTGCAACATGAAATAAAAACACTCCTCTGTTCTGTTGGTTTCTCCTTGAGAATGAACTCTTCTCATCAGCATGAATAAATTCACAACCATGCACACAGCACTTAATTGTCGGCTTATATAATGCCACCTCAGATGCACACTGCACTACGTCATAGTGAAACATGAACTAAAACGCATAACACACCGTAGCTCTTTTACAGTGTGTGAGATAGCCAATGTGCGTCGGTGGCACAGCAGTTAGGACTCTCGCCGACCATGCACATCGTTCGGGTTTCGATCTTTGGCCGACGCACACCCGATATCTATGGTCGGCCTGCAAAATTTGGGTTACCGATATCCATGCTGAAAATTCCAAACTTGTACTAGAAATGCTGTGTGGCATCAAGCTGTAACCAAAAATAAAATAAAAAATTATATGGTCACCACTTCACAGGCTCAAAGTGAAAAAGTGGATTATGGTAGTGGGCAACCGCCCAACGACTGACTAGCAAATATTGTGGAGAGTCCAAGAGGTAGCTACACAAATGAACTTATGTTTGACCTATTCACCAAACATGAAATGACCGAATGGAGGGAGACTCTTCTTATCATGTTGGCGACAGGAAATCTAGTCAGAATGTTTTTAACTTCAGAATTATCTGTTTGCTTAGCTTTCACTCTCATCAAGTCCGAATATCTGATGGAACGTAGTTGTACATCTTAGAAGTCAAAGACTAAATCTGCCACTCTGCAGCGCTGATCCTCCTATCCAGTCATCAGTTCTTGGAACTAGTTCTCAGAAAAGATGGTGCTTGCCCTTTCAGTTGACTTGTTAGGAAAGGAGATGAGCAATGGGAGAAAGGTAATACTAAAGGAATTACACGTTTCAAACTTTCCATACTCAATCAAAGCATTTCAAATATAAGTACTTCATTACACTTCTGTGTTCCGACCTGCTTTACCTCCCCTCAGATTTTCTACAAATTGCCTCCCTTGTAAACCACTGGGAAGACACATTCGCTAACCCACAAATTCATCCGATTCAGGGATTTTCCTTGAAAACTTACAACTAAGTTTTATAGAATTCTATAATAGGCTTGGTTACGCGCTCTCCTTAGGAAACTCATGAAGTTTCTTATAATCTATGTCACAGTCACTTTTATCATTACTCAAGACGATTCTCCGTCACTGCTTGTGTAGCAAATATGTATCATCTGGGTTGCGATGTATCATTCCTGCCCATACACCTTAAAAGTATATGGTCAACCAAGCAGTTCTTAGGTTTCATATAGTTATACAGCCTAAATAACTGCATTTTTTCCGGTTGGTGTGAGGTCGAAATAATGTTCATGACAGTTTTGTGTTCGTCCATCCTGAGATTATCATTTGGGAATGTACATTGCAGAAAAGCGGATCTAAAAACTGACTACTTGTGCCATTAATGCAAAGTAACTCTAAAGTCCGCCATAAATATTGCCTTTGTGAGCTTTGTAGTCACCTCCTGCTGTGGTTAAATTCTCTTGCCAGATACCTGGACGGTGGCTAGCATCTCTAGTGGTTATATGGCTTGCAACCTAAGAGGCATCAGACATCTTAGCCATATAATACAATGATAGGCATCAGTGGGCACCTCACAGTGCATATTGTATGATGCTGTCCCGCATCCGTTTTCCAGAGCATCACAAGTTATGTAAAATTCTGTTTCGTCAACTCAGTGGATCATGAACATGGCAATAGGAGTTCACTGACATAACTTATTATCTGCGTTAGGAGAAGCTAACTCATAATGTCCCCTCCCGTCCTAACACAATTAACAAACCATGACAGTTCTGCCAGATGTATGCGTCCTGTAAGCAAGCAAATCTTCTCTTGTGCTGCGAAAAAGCCATAGCATTAGTCCAACCTGATCTCATTTCAGTTCGACTCCTGTGTACATTTATGGAGGTTCACATCTGTGTTACAGGCTTTGTGACATTTACTACGTTACTGATTTGCCTTCTGACCGAATTCGTCTACTTAGTTGGCAAAGCTGTCTACGATACCCTCCATAGATGTTTGGTGGTTATTTATTTTGGATCCCTTGGACAGTCACTGCAACCAGATCCTACACTACGTCACTAACATTTTCAACATCTTGATTGAGGGTACTGTTGACACAGAAGGCAGGCATCCTTCATTGTCTCCAGGATGACGCTACTTTGTATTTTACTTGGCGCAGACCGGAGCATTATTCCATGCCAGTTCTTGCACAGACCTAAGTCACCGTTCTTTGGCAGTTTAATGAGGTAGCACTTCTTCCGATCATTAGGCACCTTTCCTTCTTTCCAAACCTTTTGTGGTTATGGAGTGAGAACATCTGCCATAATCTCTGGGGCCGTTTTCAGTGCTTCGGGAGGGATGCCATCTGGTCCAGC